TTATGAATTTGTGAACCTCAATACCTGCAGGGGGAACTGGATCATGTTAACATGGTTTTACAAGCAGGTAACAAATAGAACAGGTTTCACGACAAAAGAGCAGACCGCCGGCAGAAGACAAGGAACCACCTGCGCGAGTCTCCTTCCTACCATACATTAAAAGCATCGCGAATAGAATAGGAAGGTTGCTGCAGAAACACAACGTCAAGACCATCTACAAGCTGACAAATAAAATCCAGCAACTCCTAACGTCAGTAAAGGACCCTAGGGACCTCCTGAGCGGTGCCGGCGTATACAAGATACCGTGTTCCTGTGGTAAAGTATTCGTAGGCACCACTAAACGTAGCTTCCAAACACGCATCAAGCAGCATGAAAGAAACTGTCGACTGGGACAAACTGATAAATCAGCGATGGCCGAACACGCACTCCAAGACGGCCACAATGTTCTGTTCGACCAAACTGAAGGCCTATCAACTTCCACCCACTACTCAGCCGGAATGTACAGAGAAGCAATTGAAATCTATAAACACAATGATAATTTCGATAGAAAAGAAGAAGGCCTTGCTTTAAACAAAACGTGGTTCCCAATTCTAAAAAACACAGCGCAAAAGCCACGATACTCAAGAGACCCAGAGTACCCCCACCAAAAAAATCAGTCCGCAGTCCGCCGATCGGCTATAAAACCACATGCTCATCCAGTTAACCGATCAATGCTGGCCCTATATGCAGACGACACTGCTATAGCCGCCAAGCGTCGACGACCCGAGATCATCCGTAGGAGACTACAGTATGAACTGGACCACATCCAGGACTGGTGCGTGAAATGGAAAATCTGCATCAACGTTCAGAAGACGCAGGCAATCTTCATCCAACGAAGAAGGATTGCAAGACCTCTCGAAGCATCCATCTTCGACGAAGATATCCAGTGGAGCGACACAGTCAAATATCTGGGAATCGTATTTGACAAGTCCCTCACCTGGAAAGACCACATAGAAGCTGTCATCGCAAAGACCAGAGCAGCCATGGCTCAACTCTACCCATTACTGGGTAGACACAGCCGGATGCCGCTAGCGACCAAGCTACGGCTAATCAAGGCCATCGCCAGACCTCAGCTCGCTTACGCCTCCGCGGTCTGGGGGTACGCTGCTCCCAGCTACCGCAAGCGACTTGCTGCTCTGGAGATGAAGCTACTCCGGATCGCCACCAGAAGAAACTCAACCTTGCGTAGAGACCTGCATTGGGACACCATTCACGAGTACATGAGGAAAAAAGCGGAGAAGACCTTCCAGAAAACTCAGGACCACCCGAACGAGCAGGTACGATTCCTCATGGGCTACGATCCGGACGAGAGGCCTCACAACCGCAGAACCAGGTAGCCTAGACCCAAGTCACAGTTGGCAGACGCTAACTGGAACCTTGACTAGGAGTACCCGCGGTTGCTCTCCCCTTTCCCCCCCACGGCGTGGATGCAGAGGACCAGAAACCACCGGAACCAGGACCCACCGGGACCAGGACCCACCGGGACCAGTACCTACCAGGACCAGGATCAGGACCCGTCACGACCAGGACCCACCAGGACCAGGACCAGGACCAGGAACAATATATAGATAATAGGACTTGTAACTCTTGATTTTTCGAAAACAAGAGTTTCAAGAGAACCTAGCAGACCCTCTATCGATGATCGCTTAACGACATCGATAGAATATGCGAGGTAAAGGGAACCAACCTGGCGTTCCCATAGACTGAAACACATGAGGAGACGTTGTAGCAGACCGCAGGTCACGCACAACACATGGCCTACCGAGACGCTGATGAGTCGGGCCACGCGGAGGTTAGGAGACTACAGGATGAACTGGACCACATCCAGGACTGGTGCGTGAAATGGAAAATCCGCATCAACGTTCAGAAGACGCAGGCAATCTTCATCCAACGAAGAAGGATTGCAAGACCTCTCGAAGCATCCATCTTCGACGAAGATATCCAGTGGAGCGACAAAGTCAAATATCTGGGGATCGTATTTGACAAGTCCCTCACCTGGAAAGACCACATAGAAGCTGTCGTCGCAAAGACCAGAGCAGCCATGGCTCAACTCTACCCATTACTGGGTAGACACAGCCGGATGCCGCTAGCGACCAAGCTACGGCTGATCAAGGCCCTCGCCAGACCTCAGCTCGCTTACGCCTCCGCGGTCTGGGGGTACGCTGCTCCCAGCTACCGCAAGCGACTTGCTGCTCTAGAGATGAAGCTACTCCGGATCGCCACCAGAAGAAACTCAACCTTGCGTAGAGACCTGCATTGGGACACCGTTCACGAGTACATGAGGAAAAAAGCGGAGAAGACCTTCCAGAAAGCTCAGGACCACCCGAACGAGCAGGTACGATTCCTCATGGGCTACGATCCGGACGAGAGGCCTCACAACCGCAGAACCAGGTAGCCTAGACCCAAGTCACAGTTGGCAGACGCTAACTGGAACCTTGACTAGGAGTACCCGCGGTTGCTCTCCCCTTTCCCCCCCACGGCGTGGATGCAGAGGACCAGAAACCACCGGAACCAGGACCCACCGGGACCAGGACCCACCGGGACCAGTACCTACCAGGACCAGGATCAGGACCCGTCACAACCAGGACCCACCAGGACCAGGACCCATCAGGACCAGGACCAGGAACAATATATAGATAATAGGACTTGAAACTCTTGATTTTTCGAAAACAAGAGTTTCAAGAGAACCTAGCAGACCCTCTATCGATGATCGCTTAACGACATCGATAGAATGTGCGAGGTAAAGGGAACCAACCTGGCATTCTCAGAGACTGAAACATATGAGGAGACGTTGTAGCAGACCGCAGGTCACGCACAACACATGGCCTACCGAGACGCTGATGAGTCGGGCCACGCGGAGGTTAGGGTTTAGTGGGTATTAGGTGGTCTCCTCAAGACAACCTGGAGTCCCACACACGCCGTAGCTCGGGCTATGGTATGGTGCATAAACGCATTCCCCCCTCACCAAAAAAAAAAATAACCGATCAGTTTCGGTCGACCCGCCAAGCCCAGCACTTCGCTCTCGCCGACAGCGTCACTGAAGATGGCTATCGCAGATGTAGCCGAAAGCTATGGACCACATCCAACCCGACCACGGCTCTACAGCCCGAAAAACCTAAATTACAGCCGTGAAAGCCTTCATTCTTCAATTATAGCATTACTTAGGAAATCCAAAAACTGTGAACTGCAGATAGGTTTTAAGTTGTGTCCTAACTGCAGATCATTATGCATTCCGCGTGGCTCAATTCAACAAGTACCTCTGGTAAAACTGAAGGATGGTCTGAAGAACCCCTGCTCGACTCATTCTTAGGAATAAAAGTGCGGAAAACTCACCGTCCTCCATCAGGCTCATCTCAAAAGACGAAATAAGTTGGAACCTCGGGCGGTATACTTCCTCTCAGTACAAACCTGACCTCGATACCGTGACAGTATCCACTACATTCAGAAATCAGATCCCGTAGCAGAAAGTGCATCTGACGGCACATCACTGTCCATAATCGTTAAGAGCTCGTCTAGCCGCGGAACGGCTAGAATGAGATGGACGATGAATGTGTCCCCTGTCGGACAATATTCCGGGATGCTCCAGACTCCGGGATCCAAGAAATTAGCTGACCAGTGCCGATGACGTCTACGAATTACTAGGATTAATTGGCACAGCGTCATTACCGAGGCTCGTTCATTGTGCTGCTCTTTGTATCGATATGTCTCTATGTAGAATGGCGGTTAAGGAGTGACTGTATAGATAGGATCGATGTCGCTGATTGGTCAAAGGAGCAATTTAGGCTGTGAAGTAGAAACCTCATTTTTCCATTCTAAAGGCTGTGTCGAGTCTCATAACACCTCATGTCCGTATGCCTTTGTATTTCTTTATTCATACAGGGTGTGCAAATATTTTATTGGCATATAGTTACCACTTGGGCCACTCCTATTCATTTTGTATATTTCTGATCTCCACTCAGTTGTTGAATATTGTAATATCCAATTCTTTGCCGACGATTCACAGATCTACAGTCATTTCCATAATCACGACATTCGAAATGCTGAATCTGAGGTAAATGAACATCTATTAGTATGTATGCAAAAAATCATAACCATTAAAAACGAAAGTCATAATTTTTTCACCAAAACTATTTAGAAATGATGCCAAAAGAAATTTTAAAGTAAAATTAAATGGTGAGACTATAGAAGTGAGTCAGTGAAAAACTTGGGCGTAACTTTAGATGAATGTCTAAATTTTATACCACATGTAAATAATATCAGTAAGAGTTGTTTTTCAATTTTAGGTCAATTATATCTTAATATACAATTTCTTGACTATCCAACTAAAAACATTTTGTGTGAATCTTTGGTAACGTCCAAAATTAGTTATTGCGATTTAGTTTATCTACCATTTCTTGACTCAATATCTCTAGCACGTCTCCAAAAATCCAAAACTCATGTTGTAGGTTGAACAATAATTTAAAAAAAAATGATCATATTAGCCGTTTTTTCAATGACATGAAGTGATTAAGAGTAAATGAACTGTGTGAGCTACACTTAGTTACTTACACCCACAGGCTTTTGCTATCATCCATTCCGTCGTTTTTGAGAAATAAGCTGATATCTAGAAGCAATATCCATTCTAGGGACGTTCGATTCAGTGAAACACTCACAATGCCCCTCTACAGGACATCATTCTTTCGTAAATGATTCACCTACAACGCAATTATTTTTTACAATGCTCTACCTCGATCCACAAAATTGCTATCATATGATGAATTTATAAGACATATGAAGAAATTTATTTTGAATAGAAGTATATCAATTAGTTGATAAAATGTATCTGTCACCTCACACAGAAATATTTACAATATAGCATTCCTTTGTTTTGTATAACTGTTACAATTTTATACTTCTAAACCATGAAACGTTGAATAGCCTTTACTTATACAGGGTGTCCGCAAAGTTGGGGTTTTCCTTTACTCGACGTGTAGATCTTGAAAACATAAGCAATTTTTCTTAGTACCATATGCACCAATGTCTTAAGGGAACCGAGATAAAGGGCTCTGCAACATCAAAAACATCTGAATACCGTCCTGTAGCCGCGACATCCCCGAGTGGTACTAGGACACTAGCTCAACCCGACGACAGAACTGGGTCGGAGTCAGTGTGTCAGGTCAGTATGCAACCTTCAACCGACGGTTACGGTCACGCGTGTAGAGGTAATCGCGTAGACGAGAATCCCTCAACAAGCACTAGAGACGTGGCTAGAGAAGTGCAAGTATCAAAAACTAAAGTGTAGCAAACGCTGCGTGAAGAGGGGCTCTATCCGTTTCACGTCCAACGTGTACAAGCCCTTCAACCTGACGATTTTCCAGCAAGAGTGCGGTTTTGTGAGTGGTTATTGCATCAACATGACAATACTCCGGACTTTTTGAAGTGCATATTGGTGACAGACGAAACTACGTTCACGCGTAATGGGGTGAATAACTTTCGCAACACTCATGTTTGGTCAGTAGAAAATCCGCACGCTGTCCGTCGGGCACATTTTCAACAAACATTTACGGTGAGTGTTTGGGCTGGCATGGTGAACGGTATGCTCATTGGACCATTCATTCTCCCAAATCGAGTGGACGGGATGCAATACCTAGACTTTTTACGCAACATTTTGCCTTCCTTGTTTGCCTGCGTCTGCTCGGTAGCGCATCAGCTGATTTCATTTTCTGTTGGAGCGGTATGATTTCAGGCAGAGACGTACTCAACCCTTCTCGTCAACTGGAGAGTGAGTACTTTTTCCTTTATTTTTTTTTCACTTGGTCGCCCTCGTTTCACTACACATTACCTTTGTTATTTCAAGGGTAGTTGTTTCTGAAAAGGAAAACCCCAACTTTGCGGACACCCTGTATATGTTATATACATCATATTTTTTATACACCTACATTTTTAAACTTCTAACTTATCAAATGTATTTATGTTTTTTGCATTGTTTATTCAGTTTTTCTTTTTTTTTTGAGTTAAGTGGCAGAGTAGCATTATGCTAAACTTCGTCCCCTAAATAAAGACGATTTATTATTATTATTATTATTTTCGGACTCAATATAAGTAGATTAGACATGATTTGCCTCTATGCAACAGTGCTTTGTTAATCCGTCAGTGGGCGTCAAACTTTTCTTTTTGAAACTCATTTTTCAGATATTTTTGAAGCGATACTCCGATTGGAATTCAATTTGGAACACATGTGTTCTGCTAGACGTTCTAATATTTGGCTCTTACAGAAAACTTGAAAGGGTTCAAGATATGTGAAAACCACCACAACATGAATTATAGCAGAATTCTTTCGCAACTCTCCCAACGACTGTAATTTTTTTATTTGAAAGATCCTTATGTTTACTCCATTTTTAGTTTTTTTTTCATAAAAACAGGCCACCTCAAATTGTTTTTAAGCAGAAAAATATTTTTCGGAGCTGGTTCCTAAGAAATGTTCTTATCACATCAAGTGCTAAAGTCCAGTAGGCATCTAGTTGGCAGAAATATGGGATGTTATGTCAGTGCCAGTGATGCCAGATCTGGTGATTTTGTGAATAATCTGGTGATTGGTGAAAAACTTTTTGACAAATTGCAACGTCTATTAATTGATTTTAAATAATTTCTTCTCCATAAAATAATCTCTTGGCTGTAAATGAAAACAATATTTCTGCCCCGTTTCCCATACTCAAAATGAAGTTCTTTGAGTAGACTATACGAGCCCCTTCCCACTTCAGTTGGCCCACTTCAAGATTTGTATCAACATATGCCTTTATTAACTAAACATGACGAAACTATTTACGTCTAAAACAATTTATTTTCTCAAAAACATTTTAGATACACTCTAGTCGTAAAAAATACATATTTGAAATCACTTAGACCTATAACTAATAGAACATCTGAACAAATAAACAATGTGCGAATAAATGCGCGAAGTTAACAAAGCAACAATTGAAAGATTACCATTGGGTAACATCACCTTTATTTTTTATTACGGCTGAAATTCTTTGGGGCATAGTGTTAACCAAGTTTTGGCAAAAATTGGGTGTAAAACAATTCCATATTTCTTGAAGCTTTTGTCTCAGTTCGGTGATTGTACGAGCAGGATGTTGTCGTAGAACTTTCTTCATCTCGTGCCACAAAGTTTCAATAGGTGACAGATCTGGACTGCTAGAAACCCATTTCAAAAGTGGTACATTATTTTCTTCCATCCATTTTATAGCCTTTCTTGAGGTATGACACGCTGCACCATATTGCTGAAACTCAAAATCTTGGTCGGATATCAAACATTCTATTCTTCCTTCACTGGTTAAAGCGATTCTTCTAAAATTGCCAAATGTGTCCACATTTTCATCAATAAAATGAAGTTTTCCTACCCCTTTTGATGACATACTATCCCCAGACCATAATGGATGCTTGAAATTTCACATTTCTCTTCAGACAGTCAACATGGAATGCTTCATTTTTTTACGAATAACTCTACTGCGTCTGTCACCAACACAAACTTCGAATCGGGCCTTATCACTCCATTGTATTGCACACTATTGATGGAGGTGTCCATTGTCCTTTAGCCCATCTAAGCCGATTTTTCTTTTGCAGTGGAGTTAATAGTGGCTTTTCTTTGGTCTATAAACAAGTTTTGCAACTTTAGGGTTTTTACTTCACCTTTTTTTATAGGAAAACTTACCTTGCAAGTGCTAAATCCCAGTTTGTGGGCCTCCTATGAGTTGTGGATCTCGAAATTCTCCTTCCAACAGCGTCACTCCACAGAGCACTTAATTGTAAATAATTGGCACGCCTGTTTTTCACGATTATTCTTCTTAATGCTTGTAACGGTTTCACCGTCCGATCGTATTTATTAAATCACTTCTCGATTATCATTTCATTAATCCCATCTCTAGCTTTTTTGCTTGGAAAATTTTCCGCTTGGAGCGCTTGATGCGGAGTTCCTGATCTGCGATCTTCCTCGCGCTTCCTTTTCACCTGAGCCGCCGATCGAACAACGGCTAGAAATTTCTTCTCAGTAGCACAAGGTTATATAGCACCATGTGCTAGATTTCTAGAATGTGTGTCCGTATAGGACAAAAATGATTGGGGCCACCCCCTTTCTCTTTCCCTTTCACTTTGCCTAGCCTTGGCCAATATTTTCACCCATGCATGTACCTTGGCAGCGCCATCGCCTTTAACTTCGTCTACAACTGGTTGTGAAGCCACTATATGGAGGTCACCCCTCATAACTGGGACCTCTCCTTCAAACCCCTGGCCATCCTGGCTTCAGTCGAGTCAAAATGGACCAGCAAAAGATAAGTCGATAGCGTTAAAAACTTATTTTGTTATTTTTGTAAAATTGTAATGTAATGAAAATGCCTTTTTTTTGTTAAATAAAATCTGTTAAATTTTTGTGTTCTGTTTGTTCTTCTATCCTCTAGCCATGCCATGGTCGACACACAGCTACACGCCTGTAGATGTCTTCATGCCACCGACTGAGCTACCGGAAGCTAATGGTAACCCCCTTTCTGTGATTGTGCAGAAAAGTTGGAATCTTCATTGCATTCCATCTTTTCTGGACTTTTTGCGGAAAGGAAGCGTTACATAAATTGGCACCCGCAACGTGAGGCTTCGATAGGTGTTTGGCTTTGTCGACAAGTGGTTTGCTAGTGGAAGATTGGCAGACAGAACATAGTTTTCAAAATTCTTTACAATCTTTGGCAGCATTTCTATTTTTAATTGCTTTTGGTACTCAAATTTCTAATTCCTTAATCATCCTTACTTTTTGCTTAATGTTTAAAATTTTTATCAAAAGATTAAAATTTTTCCACCTGTTTATTTCATAGGCATACTATTAACTTTTAAATTGTCTTGTTTAGTAGTCAGCGAGATCATTGCCAGAATTTTTTTTCTCGCATACTACTATAGTTTTTATTTACTGCTGGGGACAGTTATAACTTTTTTCTCATTGTACTTTTGAGATTGATGATATTTTGATATTTTTTTTTTGTTGTTGAATATTGATAGTCTGGGGACTTTAGGTTTCCCAGCATTTTTGTCGAATATCATCAAACTTTTGATTGAGGTTGTGACTATTATTGTTGATAGTTTACATATTCTTATATGCTTTTCATTTTTGATCACTAACCTCTTAGTTTTTGAAAGTATTTCTTCATGTGCAGTTTTTTTGATTTCTTGAGACTTTTCATGTACGCATATATAGCCTAATTGTTGGATCTCTGGTGTACTGATATAGCTCTCATGATGTTTGGTACGTAGGAAATTTACTTTCAAAATTATTTTTGCCTTCCCCAAATGTTTTTACTTTTTGAATTTTTGACTGTACTTGAACTTTTGATCATTTGTTTTCATTCTGATGGCAATAATCTACTGACTAGAGTTATCTGGAGTAAATCATTTTGCGATTTATCCATTTTTCTGAATTATATGAAATTGATATTCATAATTTTTCGTATATTTTGGCGGTTTACCTTTTTTTCAAGTATTGACATTTGGACATAGTACCTTGATACTTACCTTTCTTTTTTTCAAGAATCAAATGATGTTTTTCTTGACTATATTTTTGCTACTTTTCAATGAGGGGGTGACTCCTAAATCATTTTTACCTATACAAAGACACACATACTCATTTATGATAATTAAACTTCAACTTGTTGTTGAAATAGTATACGTTCCTCAGTAACTATTGTAGTAATTTTGTCTCTTGTTTGGAGCAAAAGTTTTCATAATTTTAATGTTTTATAGTTTTATCTGGCATATTCTTTGGGGGAAATTAGAACATTAGTGTCTGATTTTCCATTGGATTAACAGGACTTGAAAGTCTCTGTACTCTTTTAATGTATGTGAGATATAAAATAATTTTTTTAAGATTCGGCTGCTCCTGTTTTTGTATTGAAACTTTTTGTTTGTATTGTTAGTTTTTTATAGTGTTTTAGATCCTTGTCATTTCTTGACGTATTCAGGTTTTTAACTTTAATTTTTTTCTTTCAAGTGTTTCTTTGAGGTTTATTTCTCAATCATGGTTCAGTCTAGACTAAGCCCAAATGACTTATTAAGTCATGAACTCCACTACGAGATTCATATCAGAGGTTTGGAAGTCCCTAATACCGTGGAGGATAAACGTAAAGTTTTACGTGGCTTATTAGCACAGGAATTTCAAGGGCGTAGTTTCTCAGAAACTTCTGTGACTATTCCTTTTGATGAGGATGAGACTGAGATAAGACTCTCATTCAATAAACTCACTGAGATGATCTCTAGATTTACTGGTGTATCTGATTCTGTTGAACATCGCAGAATTTGTGTGCGCTTATTGCATCTATCTGGTAGGATAGATCGAATGTCTCCTACTTGTGATGAGGAGATAAGTACAAAATCTAGATTAAAGACACAACTTGTTGTGTGTGAATCGGATCTTTTAGAGAAGCTTGAGATGCCATCTGCTCAATCATCTCCTCCATCGGTTTCATCTCGTCCTATTCCATTAGCATCAAATCCGCCTGTGACTGTTGCTAATCCTCAAGTATTTCCTCCAGTACATACACAGCCACTCTCTCCTATAAATTTTGCTCCACATAAAAAGATACCAGTTTTCAAATGGGGAATCAAAAAATTTTCTGGAAATAGCTCAGTTATTGAATTTCTAGAAATTGTCGAATCTCTAATGTCTTCCCGTGGTTGCAATGAGATGGATCTCTTTGCATCTGCAGGTGATCTCTTTGAAGATGTAGCCTGGACATGGTGGCATAATGGCCATCTAAGAAATAGCTTTCATGATTGGCAGGACTTGATTAAACAACTCAAGGATGCTTTCCTACGTGACAATTATGATATGAACCTAATTGATGAGATTCGTAGACGCAAACAAGGTCAGCACGAACATGTTACGATCTTCATTTCGTTCATGGAATCACAATTCAATAGATTAACCTACAATACATTTACAGAAAAGGACATGGTCAATATTGTCCGTAGAAATTTATTGCCTGACTTCATAAAATCACTTGCTCTTCATGAAATTTCCACTTTTCCTGAACTAACATCACTTTGTAGGAAATTAGAGGATTCCTTCTTGACTTGTCAACCCCACAATAGACTTTCCACTTCCAGCTTGGTTACTTCTGATAGTACTCCATCGTCTCACAGAAAAGCTCCTGTATGTTGGAATTGCGAGAAGCTAGGACATTCTGTTCGAGACTGTAGAGCTCCTAAGGCTGTTTATTGCTATACCTGTGGTATGAAAAATGTCACACGCTCTAATTGTCCTTCCTGTTCAAAAAACGTGAGGCAAGAAGTTTCCAATCCGACTCCCGGAACTTCTTACGCCCAGACTCGAGGAGTCATAGACGTAAAGGGCAAAGCAACTCCAGGTCTCATTCTGAAGTCCAACAAATAGCCAAGTTAAGACAACCTTCAGCAATTAATCCCGATTTTGACATTAATCATTCACAACTTGCAGGTATGCCATCAAATGATCATTCAGAACCATTTATTCAAAAACCAAATGACAATCGTCCACATCTTTCAATATCCATTGGTGATGAAAACATTTTAGCTTTGCTTGATACTGGAAGCAATGCCAACATTCTAGGTTCATCTGGCTTATACTTATTACGTAAATTAAATCTCAACATCGATTACAGTAGTACCTTGCAATTAACAACTGCTGATGGCCAGATGCAAGATACTTTAGGTTTTGTTTTGCTACCAGTAGGTTTTAATGGCAAAGTTCATGTCATTAAATTCATAATAGTTCCTTCCATTACACACACATTACTTTTAGGCATGGATTTCATCCTAAAATTCAATTTCAACCTTGATTTTCATACTTTTTCATATCAGTCTTGTGCTGTAAATTGTATTCAAGGTGTGGAGAAGCTATCTAATATGGAAAAGGAACAATTATTTGAAATTGTTGAACTTTTTAATAGCATTGCACCTACTGACAGTATTGGTTGTACACATTTATATACACATCACATTGACACAGGTGATGCAAAGCCCATCAGGCAAAGACAATATCCGCTTTCTCATGTAATGGAAAAAGCTCTTATTAAGCAAGTTGATGAAATGTTGGAC